TTTTTTTAGAACACTCAGCTCTGAATCAGAAATTACTGTTCACATGGAAGACAGGATATGATGACAATTGATGGTACTCAGACCACAGGAAACCTAATTTTACACATCCTTAACAATGCTCAGATAGACAGTGTAGTGGGAGAAGGATGCAAGTATTTGAGACTAGCTCTGGGCTCTATAGCTCTCATACTTCTAAAGGGAAAAGCCCCAAGCTTTTCCAAAGATTGGAACTAGGTAAGTGGTATCCTCTTCCTCCACACCCTTCCACTTTATCCCCTTGAACGTGGGAGGCCCGGTGACAAAAATGAGCACAGGAAGAGGAAAGACATATAGAAGCAATATACTATTTACCTGCTCCAGCATAAGCAGCAAAAAGAATTAAATCAACTACTTCATTCATGTTCAGACCCTGGACCAGTAAGTGGATGGCATAATCCCTCACTTTGCCAGGCACTTACGTATTTAACAACATTGCATTAATTTGCATATGTACAAATAGAAAATTCATTTGTACCCACAGAAAATTCAACACTCGGGTACAATGCAACAGTTACATCTATAAAGTCACAAAAGCAAAAAGTTGCTTGTTACCTCTTTACCACATTTGTGTGTCCTGAGAACAGCGACCCGAGTTCTCAGCGAAGCGCACTGACTTCTGGAATTACACACATTCTCAGCACAAGGCTTTAGACTCGAAGCAGGCCTCCGCTTGCACTGGCAGAGAAGCAAAACATCACAAAGAGGAATGCAGCCCTGGGGTCACGTGGAACGTACCTCACCTCAGTCCACATAGGCAGATGCAGGGCCCGAGATCACAACTGGATCCTCAGCATGTTTCGGAGAGGCTGAGGACTACGAGTTCTCACTAAGCACCACTGTAGATGGTACTGTACTGTCAGGGAAAGTCTCATCTGACACAGTTTTGAACTGCCACCCCACCAACTATGTTTTGGTTTTTAAATGTCAAAAAAAGTACAAACATAGATGTAGGCATAGATTATTATTATTTTTATTGCTTTTGTTAAAAAGTCAGTGTATGAATGATAGCACTAGGGCTGTAAAAATGCCAACATTACTGGTGCTCTAACAGTACAACGTCCATTATGACAAGATTTTAAACATGAAGCATGAGCTTCAATATGGATTTCCAAATTAAAAAAACAAGCCTAAGAGGTAAATGGATTAATAATAATAATTGATTTATCTGCATTTTCAATACTAAGTGAATACAGAGTGAACCAGAACCTGCAAGAACCAGACATATTTAAGACACAACAGAGTCAAACAAAGCTTCTAGAAATTGAAGAATAAATTCTCTTTCACCTGCATAGAGGTATTTGTTCTGCACAGTACATGAGTGTTACAGCTCTCCTATTAAACTACAATCACAACGTGTCTGGGGGAAGTGCATGAGAAAAGGAAAAAGCAAAACAAAACCTTTTCTGCATTGCCAGTCAGAGAAAACACCTGTGTGCTTTGAAATTTTAAAAATGAAAACATCGATTTAAGAAAAAAATAAAATAAAAATCACATCTCCTGGGGGAGTCTCCACCATAGCAGAACACTGACGCCTATTAACACTGTGACTGGGGACTGGAGAAAACCATGGCACTATTCCTAATTGCGAAGCAAACCCGAACAACTGGATATCCATGGGTATTATTGCACTTGTAGCAGTGGTGCTTTAACTGGCCTGCTGAAAACTACTTTCGGTGTGTAAGGAAAGTGAGAATGTTTCAGTTGGTTCTGGATTCTTTTCTTTAACGTGTGCAATCTTAGTCGAAAGATGCACTGTGAAAATCACAGGGGCCTAATTCAAACTTCCATGCCCTTTCTAAAACAGTTCAAGCATATCTGGCACGACACCACGCTCTTGAAATACCTCCCTTCTTCAAAGAAAGTCTTAAAAGAATAACAGTTCCCAGAGGATGGGTGGGCACACAGTACCAAATAAGGGGGGGGTGGTGGGGTGGAAAAAGGACAGTGGGCATTAGTTTCCCAGCAAAACCATGTCTTACGTCACAGCAGATCAGAAATAAATAAGATGAATCTGAACATAAATCCTCGGATGATGTTGCAAGAGTCACAGGCTTCACCAAACCAACGTCAGTGTGTTTCGTTAAGCATAACGCAGTTACTATGTACAGTATGTTTATCAGAGAATGCCAACTAACAATCCACTAAATTAAAGGTTGTTAAACAAAAAATGTATTAAAACAAGGTACTTACAAAAACAGATGGCAACCCCGCAATTATGCATAGTTACATATGAAGCATAATCCTCCTCTCTGGAGTCCAACAGATTGACACCCTCAAGCATCTGGAAACAGTTTTCTGAAGCGTAAACAACATAATTAAGAGAACCCACTCAAGCTGATGGGGAATTAAACTGTCAAAAACACCTCGAGTCCCATCACAAAACTCTCTGTATATGCAGTCATCCATTCCAAGGTTTTACACTGCTGTATTTCTTCGAAAGACCTTCTAAAGGGCGTGCTACTTAACATGGTGGTGACTTACGCACAAACAAAACAGGTGATGAACACAAAGCACTTAGGTTTAGAAGCACTTACGGAAGAATCCGTGACATCTTTACAGTGTATTGTGTATGACTGCACACAAGATTAAGTTTCTCCTGCTTCTTACTGTTCATAGTATTTCTACATACTAAGAGTCTTCTCCCCGAGAACCCAGCTTCTCTAATACGGGAAGCCACCATGCCCAGATCTTGCCCAGTAAGACACGTACAATGAAGGTGACAGTGTCACATCCTCATGGAACATGACAAAAGGACCCAGTTCTTTCCCTTGTGTCTTGCTCAGCTTCTCCACTCCATTACAACTGTGGACGTCAGTCAGCATCCATGTGTTCTTGTCTAGTAAGTAGAGGCTTCCCATCCGTATCACCGATCTTTTTCCGCATCTCTTCCACTGCTTTCAGCAATGCTGCTCGCTCCTGCTCAAGGGTGAGGATGGACTGCTTCAATTTACCTTCATTGGTCAATAAAAGCTCTACTGTGGCTTCAAGGTTTTGGATCTTTCCATTAGCCACCTTTCAAAGTAAGAGAAAAGGAAGAGGGGGAGGAAATTTAAAAAATAAGGGAATTAGTTAATAACTAAACTCAACTTTAAACTATTTTTTGAGATATAGTAATAAGTATGAAATACTTTCCAGATGATGAAAAACTGGAAAGGTAAAATGCAAGTATGAATGTTATTAAATCTGTGTACTTTAGCCAGCAGCTACAATGTTGCCTCTAAGAAGAACCCTCCCTCTCCAGACTTGATCGTTTCACTGTTAAACTCAGAATATAATGCCAAGTATCGAACTCAGAAAGTTACTAAGTCTGCAGATTAGATACCAGAGACCTTCAGGTTAAGATAAGCCTCGGCATGGGTCTGTTGGGAGACTTTTTTGGCCAGCCATATTTGCTGAATTCCACACACTTTGCAAAGCAAAGACAAGACAGCCTGTTAGGCGGTTCGTCATTTCATCTCGACACCGAGTGCACCAAATGCCAGATTTGGAGGGAAAGGGGAAGGAGATTTAGTGCAGTATGCAAATAGAAAACATACCTTGAAAAATTCCAAAAATTCTCCTCCTAAAGGCTGCAGATATGGACATTCTAGTCCATGGCAAAACAAAGTATTACATTATTCAAACTCAGCATGTGAGATCTGCAGCTGAGGTACTTTGACAGAAGCAGAGATCTGTTTGGAAATTTCAGCACTGGGTAACATTCAGAGACAAGAGCACTGGATGGGCTAGGCTTCCAGGGAAGTATTTACCTTTCTGATGAGCTCACTGCCCTTCATGTAGTTATGGTGGGTTAAAAAGTTCAGCCTTTGGGGGCAAAATATTCGTAAACCATGACCCACGTTGTCAGGTGATGCATTTTCCTCCTATCAGCAATGGGTCACCTTTCACCATAGGAAACAAAGGCTACTAAGGTCCACCTCCAAAGCAACGGGATTGCTCCAACACTACAGACAGTTGGGTTCCCTGCTATGATGCTAGGTGCTGACTTGCCAGCACTGGAGATGAGTTTTGTAAAAAACTGCTAAGGGCTGCAGTCTTCAGGGGCAGGAGGGGGTGGAAGATCCCCTGAGGCAGGTATCTATAGGACATCACATCTTGAATCTCATCCCAGAAATCCCTCTGCCCCATACTCCATTCAACAATTTCCTTGCTGACATGCCCAAAGCTTTATGGAAGTATCTTGCAGAGAAGTAGATCTCTTCTTCTGACTTTTCTAAGGCTTGTCTTAGAACCTGAAACAGGTTCAGATCTCACAGGACCAGAATTTACAGCTTAAGCAAATTTCTGTTAGGAGTGGCAGGCTAAGTCTTCACAGCTGACTAGTCATGATACAGAACCAATGACTGAGGAACCTTAACTTCTTTCCTCACATATTATTTTACAAAGTCCGTGTCTTTAACAAAATACGAGAGGCTTGAAATGTCTGCTTCCCACTCCTGAAGTTCCCTTTCTCCATCAAATTAAAAGCATGGTCAAAAGTTTTATAACAAATGTCATGTTATAAAGCAGCCAGAAAGCTGATCTCTTGAACAGTTAAGCAAAGATAACCCCTACAGATACCAGTTGTACTGCCTCTGAAAAAGCTGCAGACTGAACAGGCACCAAGCGTATTTATCAGAAATTATTATTTCACATATCATCTAAACAATCTGGACAACATTTTTAAAAAATCTTGTAAGACAGAGTATGTCTCTATAGACACTGTTTGCCATACCTGTAAATTGTGACACTGGCATTGGCTTTCCCATTCATGATACACTAGTATTGCTGCTGTAATAAGGCAGTGACTGAAAATGTAAAATTGAAGTTGAGAAAGCACTTGGTGTATTTTTAGTCATCTTTTCCAGCTATGATTTTAATTACATGAGAAGTGATAGTGTGATGAATCAACTTTTCACTAATTGCAAACACATGCTCTCTCTACCCCCTCTCAAATTTTTTTTGCATTTAAACTTTAAAGGCTAAAGGAAATAAAATTGCAAGTGGCTACGCTTTAAAGTCACTTCACCAAATGCCAATCTCCCGTGGGCCTTCGTGTAGGATAGTGGATAAATTAGAACGTTAGTTAAATATGAAATATAAATTGTACCTGCAGTTCCTCCAGGAGATCAAAGTTTTGTTTGCGCAAGCTACTGTTTGCCTTTTCTAATTTATCCAGTCTCTGATTGTCATTTAAAGATGAATCTATAAGCTCATCCTGAAGCACATGGTATTCAACTTCATAAGCTTGCAACTGCTTGGCAATATCCATTTCAAACACCTGTTGTACATAGAAATATTATTAGGTGCTGTGCAGATCAAAAATATAGCTCATTCAATGCTTTAGTACCTATGGATCTAGACTAGGATATCTAATCACTGCATACAAAAAAAGGACTTAATTTTTGGCATTCAGATTTCCTACTCTGGAAATGGCAAGACAGAGGCAGTAGACTGCAACATATTGGCACTGGATCTACATAAAAACTTTGCTACTGATTTGCTGCCTCACTTCAGCAAAATCATTTACACTAAAGTTTACAAGAAATGCAGTCTTTGTAGGGTATTCCTCTTTTTAGACTTCTCAGTTTGGCATAAACCCTCCAAGATGTACTCGGAATTTGATGTCACTTTTCTAAGGTTTGGTGTGATACTACACGCCACGGGTACAAGCGTAAGGCTACGTGTAATGAAAGATTTAAATGGAAAACAGTAAACGTTGTCAGGTTTATTTAGGGTTCTACAGTAGTCCTAGAGACTGAAAGAACATGAAATAATCTACCCTTACACTAATACCCTTAATGGAAACATTATGTAACATCAAAGCAGATTTCTACTGTTGTTAACTATGAATCACTGAGTGCTCAGTCTTATACATGAATACTAAAACCTTTTGTTTTAAAAGCAGATAAAGAAATTGAGGCGCACAGACCCCAAGTAAAAAACTGCTATTGCACCGTCTAGGTTTTGGCAAACCTTCCCATTATGCAGGAAATATGACACTAATGTCCCTGAGCTAGTTATTTCCTCTGAAAGCCGTGAAGAAGGTGGTAAAAGGGCAAGTGTGCCAATCACAGAACACAGTAGAAAGCAAAGCTGATTTAAAATTTAAAAATGCACCTGGAAAACAGCCCAAGAATAGAAGTTCAAGGGTTATTCTTTATTTTTAAACCTTGTGTACTTTATTGCTTTTGGAAATGAGTCAAAAATCAAACGCTACTTTAAATACCTGTTGAAATAACAAGAATTATTTCATATTTATCTACTTTGTCTACAAAGTTTTAACTACTGGATATAGTTAAAGAAAACACCAGTTTATGAGAAGTTTATGACACTTATTACATATGCTATAAAAGTCTCTGCAATAGTTGTACAGCAGCAGAAACACACGTACTAAACATCTAAGTACAGAAGCCTGAAACACAATTTTAGTTTGAGCTTGGCTACACATCTGGAACTTCCATTTCCTGCAGATCTGAGCATCTCTGGAGAACACACACTGTTGAAATTTCAAGAAAACAAATGGTGCCATTCAGCAGAGCAGAATGTTAGTTCCTCTCATGACCTCTGTCACTTGAGAAGGGAGGGAAATCCCTGCTGTCATACTCAGAGTACCAAATCTGAAAGGGGGGGAAACATGAGGCAAATCAAAAGCTTGACTTGAAAACTAGATAACCGAAGGCCTGTTAGGGCATGCAAACCAAAGGCCACACTGCAGAAGGCATGAGGAGGATGGGGATTAGCCTTGGAGCGGTGTGCGGACTGCAGGGCTGGTCAAACAGCTGCTGTCTTCAAAGGCAGCTCTGATCAAAGTAGGGGAACTGCTGTCCCTTCAACTCACCTGCCCACTTCCAATATAGAGCAGTCAGAGCTGCCTAACCAGAGCACCTCTCCCTCCTTCTGCTCCAAGCCCATCTGCAGGTTGCCTAAGCACCGAAGTCTCTGCAGAGCTGTGCACTCCAGACTTTCAGCCTGGCAGATCATAGAATGGTTTGGGTTGGCAGGGACCTTAAAGACCGTCTAGTTCCAACCCCCTGCCATGGGCAGGGACACCTTCCACTCAACCAGGTTGCTCAAAGCCTCATCCAGCCTGGCCTTGAACACTTCCAGGGATGGGGCATCCACAGCTTCTCTGGGCAACCTGTTTCAGTGCTTCACCACCCTCTCTGGGAAGAACTTCTTCCTGATATCTAATCTAAACCTCCTCACTTTCAATCTAAGCCCGTTACCCCTTGTCCTATCTAGACGATATACGATCCCCTTTGCCCCCTAGAAATCGTTTGCTTTCCTTCCCTCACACAGGCTTTCTCCATCTCCCTTCCTTCCTTCGATAGTAAGCACTAGAAGCAATTTTCCTGATCCTAATATGAGTGTGTGTCCCCTGGAAGCTCTGCTGCCCGGGATCAGAAGGGAGCCCCTCACAAGCATTCTGCAGCGCGTGTGCTGTTGCCTGCTGTCTTCATCAAGCCGCAGGCTTTGCAGGTCTCCTTCAGCCCTGGGAGAGTGGCAGGCATTTGCAATTCTGTGCAGTGCACCCCCCACGTTTTGTGCCACAAAAGGCCTTCAGAAAAATAAGCTAAGACCCATTCTCTGTGTGCCTCCTGTAAACTAGATGTCAAGTGGAACAGTCAGGGCTTCCGAAGAGGGAAGCCTTAACTGCAACAATTTGTGTTTTTTTTCAAATCCCACGGTTACTGTCTTGAGCCTTCTGGCAGCTAAGCAATATTGCATCATTTTCCTTGTCTGCCATTGAAAAAAGGCGTATAAAGGGTTCCCAGTATTTGTTGTCTGGAGTCACTGCCCACTGCAAGAGACTGCAGCGCCCCATGCGCCCCGGAAAGGAATACAAGGGTGCTGTTGTGACAAACTGAATCAGCACCATACTAGCCAGTATGGACAAAGTCAGTGTAGGGCAGCTTCGAGTGTCAGTAAGGTCAACATTGGTGAGGGCCTTTAAGTCAATCTGTGTGTCTGAAATGAGCCCTGGAGAGCAAGATTCTTTGGAGACAGACAAACTCAAGATGGCTTTTAGCTCACCTTGCTGCCTTTTTTGTGGAATGCACTGCATATGGGCCATGGTGTTGCTGCCAATAACGGCCATTACGCACACTTTAAAAAAAAAGTAAACTCATTTTGATTAAAGGCTTCACAAAGTGACCATAACCAACATGTAGATGTATGAATACAGAGGTACTGTACAAGGTACCATACAAGTCATATGCTTCCAAAAGTTTTCAACATCTTCAGAACTACAAGAACAGAATTCTCAGCTTAAAGTGACACAATACACTGTTGTGGTTTTTCTGTCAAGAACCTGTCAGAAAGAGCATTTCTTTGCACACTGCTCCTATGTTCAGATTATTTCATACCTGACTAATGGTCTTTTCCATCTGTACCAACCCCAAGTTGGGAAGAGTGCTTTTAATAAAATCAACAATAGTTTCCAGGTTCTCATGCTGTAGAATCAAGGGCTTGTGGCTTCCCAAAAGGCTTAAAGCCACCTTAAAGGTAGCCTCCAATCCTTGAAGAAAGAGCATATCTGTGAAAACAAAGAAAACACAGTTGATCAAGCAAGAACATCTTTTGGCAAGAATATTAAGACAGTAAAATGTCCAAGAAGAACAACTTCTAATACGGGCAATCTGGAGGTGAGATACACTCTGTCAGATGGGTACTTTTGTTACTGTAGCTATGGCTTTAGAAGTTTTGTAGGATCAAGATTCTTACTGTGAATAGCCCATTTAACTAACCATCTATTATTAATTTGTCTGGTGAGTTCTCATCCAAAAAATCCAATTCAAATTCAAGCTAAGTACGCAATAAACCAGGTAGTCAAGTTTGGCAGTGTTGCCATTTTTGTGTGCACATAATAGTTTTGTGGACTTTTTTGTTTTGAGATGTTCATAGGAATATGAATTTGAATAGAATTCTAATCCCAATGCCATTTAAGAATCCCAATACAATAGGCAAAAACTATACCTGAAGACAGAGTCAAAGATTTGTTCTTTGAGTTTTGTTCTTTTCTCATGTGGTGGAGAAAGCTACAAAATCTCAGTAACACAACTTTGACCACGAGGCTCAATGCCCACTTCCCAGCAGCCTCAAGTATCATGCTTATTTTTAGTATGTGTCTCAACCACTTATGTTAATATTCTAATAGCTACATTAATAAGTATCCTGAAATCTTAGTAATACAGCTTAATATTGCAAGTGGCCCTGCAATGACAGCACCTGGCATGCATTCAGGCACACTGAAACCACAGTACAGAGCGACCTTTCAACACAACTTCCTTTCTTTTCTTTTCCTGTACAAATTGCCTAGGCCTTTTACAGAGGAAAGAAATCAAAGACTGTAATAAGAGCATCAGACAAGAAACCCATCTTCAAAAACCCATCTGTCTACAGTAATTTGACTTTCAAGCTACTGTAACTCAGAATTTGCTCCTGGTTGTATTGAGAGACTCACTAGAGGCAAAAGTGTCTAACAAACAATACTGGTGAAGATGGAAAAGGAAGATAAGATCCTGTGGGTTTATTCCATATTTCCTAAATACATTTTTGTTTTTAAAGGGCTTCTTTCTTAGTCTTTCCCTTCCTTGTATTTGAAGCTGTGAAGTCACAATCACCTACAAAGCAGTATTATTATACCAAGTAAATAGTATGTCTTAATGACAGATTAAAAAAAAAAAAGAATAATAAAGAGAGAAAAACCACCACACAGTAAGGGAACCAACTACTGGCAAAACCACAGGTATCTCTGATGTAGTAAAGAACATATGAAAACACTGGCTAACTGCCTTTCTTAGTAAAAGCAACCCCTCTTTCCAAATTTCTATCAGAATGAAATTCCCCCTTGCGCTCTGCTGACTGTAAGGTTGAAGCCATAACTCATTTCACTTCTCTCTTCTGAGAAAGAAAAGCACAAGTAACAACAAACCATAAATCTTGCACTTTGCCACCGCTTGTCCTAGAAGTGGTGTAAAATTTTTCAACTCTGATTGAACGTGAATTCCAAAGGCAGGAATGACAGAAAAGCGGTAACAGAGCAGGCATCTGCTTCAATTCTCTACTGAAACTGAAAACTGTGGGAAAACGCTTTATAGGGAAAGCTCTGTATTAGGACAGGGGATGCTGAAGAACAGCTAGGAAACACAAAGTGAAAAAAGCAGAGCTGAAAAAAAAAGATGCGTATTTATGATTCAGCACCTGCCCCATAAAGACATGTAGATTAACTCAAGGTGACCTGTAAGTTACTAATGGATGTCTGTATGAGCTGAGCTGGTACTATATGGCTGAAATCCCTCTCTCATTTAAAATAGCAAGTACTTAACAAAGATCTGTTTGTTATCCACTCCCCACACTTCCTGTTACGTGGGCTGCCTGCCAACGACAGCACAGCGAAGCTACCCAAATTAATGTCAGTGTGACTGGCAGCCTACAGGATTTTTAGAAAAACAAGTTTTATCTACAATCTTGAAACAAAATAAACATTATTCTATCAGTCTTCTCCACTAACACATAAATAAAGGTATTAAAGAACACATCTTTATTAACACTGTATTCTCAATTAGATCCTGCTCAGGAGACATGTTGAAAATTTGGAGAGATAATTAAAATGTAAAAAGGAGTTTTGCTATCAGACTCATAAAACAGTCTTTGGGTTAACCTCTTTCTAGCCCACTTCTTTTACATATTGCTTGTGAGACGGTTGCCAAGAGCACACTCTGTGGAAATCCAAAGGAAGCGGTCTGTAACAATTATATTAAACGGCCGTGGGGCTTCAAGGATCAAGGGTTCAGAGATACCATGTTAGAAAACAGCAGCCCAAACGTAGTCTTACTAACCCTGGGGTGAGTTCCTTCAACATTAAAAGCCAACATTCTCTCATCCCAAGGGTTCTAACGAGCGAGCAATGAAAATGTAGGTATGTTCCACAAAAACGTGTGAACACACAGGTCAGAACTGGTGTGATCCTAACACACCACGCTGCTAATGACAGCCACCAGCAAAGTGACAGCTCTCACCTCTTTTAGGTTTGCAGTTGTGTTTCAGAGTCTTTAGCATGGATGAAGGTGAGATTTTACCTTCTAATGTAAAAAGATGTCCAACATTCTTGACTTACACAGTTCAAGTAAACACTGTTTTAAGGAAATTACTAAATACTTTGAAAATTAAAAACTGCAAGTGTTGGTCATGCTGGACTTTCTCCCTAAAAACATTAGGGATTTTTAATATGTGACGTTTCAGTCACACATACTTTTCTGTTCTTGACCTAAAACCAGTTCTGTGAACATCATGTATCTATGCCTTCTATTCTCATGTGAAATCTTTAACTTTGAAAGCCTTACAATCCTCCAATGGCAGGTAAAATACTTATCTATGTATTAAGGCAGAAATCCAAATATACTGGGCACACAAGGCACTTTTACACTCTCCCTGCAGTCAACTGTCCAATTCAAAGTCTCTTATCAGATACAATCCTATGAATGATTAAGAATAATTGAAAGATGAACTCAGTATGACACCCACATACAGCACTTCACTCTTACAGATTATTACTGTCAGCTAGGCACTTGTTGATGCACCTCAGCCTACTCTGAACTGTTCTAGAAAAAAAAGTAACAATGCTGTTTTCCCTGGAGTTAAGATGCTAATCACAGGACATGCAGTTCTACTTAGCTATACACCATTCTTCTCACCGTGATTCCTTCTAACGCTGCTTTTGGCATGTCCTTAAACAGAAACAGGACTGGATTCTTGTTGGCTCTTCTTGGAATCTATACTCATCATATGTTATTGTACTAGACAAGACTAATTTTTTACATCAGGAATGTAGCAATACTAATACCCTAATAAATAATTACTTCATTACATCTCTTAAGTGAGACTGACTAAGGAAAATGAAAATAGCTTCTCATCAGAAGGGAGGGATTGAGGGAAAAGCTCCAATCTACCCTGCTCATCATGGAAGATCCAGTACCACATAATAAAACTGAAAAACAAACAACTGAAAAGGAAATAAAGCATCTTCTCAAATACCAATTAATCTATGAAATATACATCCGTAAGATAGAATCAAGGTAAATTCTTAATATGAATTTAATTATAAAGAGAACTTCACTTCTGTAGATTCTAAAAATAGGTAACAGAAGTGACTTTAGAGCCTAAACCCCATATGCCTCCAAACATTTTCGGAAAGTGAGATTATCAAGTCAAGCTAAAATAGTAAGAATAAGAAACACTAGTGTAAAAGCCCTGTGTTTCTGCAGAGTAAATCCATGGTTCATGGTTAAATTGCAAGGGCCATCTCTGTGTGTGTTTTAAAAATGAAACCCCCAAAATAATTTTCCACTGACACTGCTGGAGACAATAATAACGGAGTAAATGGATTTATTTCTCAGATGATGCCTTCATTAAATCTCTTCTCAGCTTGAAACTGTCAGTGTTGAAGTGCCATTGTCATAACACCATGCTTTCACGGCATCAAATCTTACGTCCTCTCTACAAGTGGTTAGAGCATGGGAAAAGGTAACAATGAGGATGAAAAGACAGCACAGGTTTGGACTGCCATACGCTTTCCTCCTCTCTCTTGCCTTTTTACTGCAACTGCTACATGCTCCATAAGATGACCTCCGTTGTTCTGCTCAAGTCAAATATTTCTCCTGGGTGTCTGAAACAGGTTGGATAATAATGCTCTTCCTAGTAACAGGATTCCAAATATAAGACTTCAAGAAAAACAGATACAATTTTTATGAAGACTTACCAAACACCCTGGCTACAAATCCAAGGGGAAACTGGGAGGCAAACATGGTGAGAAACCAGGGAGCAGCATAGAGGCTGGGGCCAATCTCATGTTCCTCGAGGTGGTTATAGAGATCTCGATGGTAGTCATGAAGAAGTCGAGACAGTTGATACATCTGGATCTGCATGGAATAAGAATAAAGAGGCTAAAGACAAACATGTTTTAACACTTCTAGTAACATTCTAAGAATGTGAAGTACATTCTTCACAATCTTGCTGGAAACAGTGAAATTATTTGTCAACTGATATTTGGATGGAATTGTGTGAAGAAAAGAAATACTCAGAAGCCACCTAAAAGACCCAGGATGGGTTACCTGTGAGCCTATGACAGGTTCATCTGCAGGTTCATTTGAACCTCGTACAACACATAACCATAAACATGAAGAATTCTGTTTTCATAGTTTCCCTGGTAGTTGTCTTATTTTAAACTAAAACACTTAAAATCATGTATTCTTTTCCCACATTATCCTTCCCCATTTTTGAGAACTGAATTTAAGTTCAAGTCCAGATTTTGACAAAGCTATCTACATTGCATTATTATGATTTAACATTAGCATCCTATTATTAGAAAAATTGAAATCATACCTGCAAAATTGTCATGTCAGGACGATATTGCTTTCTCAGGCCCATGTCAAACATGAGAAACTTTAACATTTTGAAAGCATCTTCTTCACTCATATGAAGTAGTAAAACTCCTGCTACAAAACTAAGGCCCTGGCAATATCCTACTTCCTGGTCCAGAAGGGAATAGGCCTTCAAAATATTGTAGAGTGACAGCTGCCCAGCTCCCAGCTGTGCTGAGAAGTACGGATGTGTTGGAAACGTGCGCCCTGTGAAAACAGCTGAAGTTAGCAACTTAAACGAAAATAAAAAAATACTTGCCATGCTATCAAATTGAAGTCTTTCAAAAGGTAGATTCTTCTGAAAGGTAGATTGAGTCAACCTTCAGGAAGCTAATAATACAGCATTATTGACTGTTATACTCCACAGATAAGGGCTTCTCTGATTAGTTTTGTTACAGTAGTTGCAACACTGATCTAGCAACTGTCAGAGAAGACAGGCTCTGGGATGAGGACAGTGTTGTTTGGAACAGCTGAGTTCCTAAGACTGGCCCGCAGTCCCAGCGCTACCCCAGCCAGTTTGTTAAGGACTGACCCAGTCCTCTTCTTGATTAAAAAGTATTGGCTTTTAGGCAACTACTAGGATAGAGGCACAGACTTAGAACATCTGAATTCTCTTGGTTAAGGCCCCTTCTCCTTGTCTTTCTTTCCAGATGTCCATTGTCACCTCCCTCCTTTATGGGTCCTTCTCCTCTCCTGCAGCATGAAGCTCAGATTCTTCCACAAGCTGATCCAGTTCACTGACCTGGCAGAAAAATCCCCTTTTACAGGGACTTAGTTGTTCTGCCCTGTCACTTAGCTGCATCAGCTCCAGGAGGCATCCCACAAGCACCATCACAAGTGACAAGTGGAGAGTGGGAGTAAAACTTTATATTGGTAGCAATGGGCTTTGGTTCCGTTCCCCACATCTCTTTAAATCCCAGCCTAAGTTAACTATATGAATTGCAGAGCTGTAGGAGTTCGACTGAGCCATGTCTAGCCCTTCAACTCTGGAACAAGGCAACTCCACCCCAGACCGGCTTATCTGTAAACTTTCATAGAGACCTGAGACTGACGTGTCCTTAAAACAAGTCAACCCAACTACGTAAATTGCTAAGTAAATCCGTTTGACCCACAATATTTATTCAGCGAGTAAAACATGATTTGTCTTTTTTTTTCTGCAGTTCTTAGGATATCAAGAATTGTGTAGCTATGTATGTGCTGTGATATATGCTATATCCGTATTATATGAGAGTGCAGATAACAGAGGCAGCCAGCAGAGACGGTACTTCGTGCAGCAGCTTCCGGGCTTTGCTTCTCTGAGCTGTTGAACATCTGGACACTTTGCCCAGGATGGCCAGGGGACTCCTGGGAACCGGAGGGTGGTGCTGCTGGCAGGTAAGGCTGAGGCTGTGTTAAGGGTAGCTCCGGCACATTCTAACCAAGTCGTCAGCTGGCCTTGAATACAGGGTGCCTGTAGCCCTTGTTCTAGGTGATCCTTGATTAGGGAGGATCATTAATGAACTGGACTATGGGGCACAGTGCACCCCCAGCAAGTTTGCCGATGACACAACACCAGGAGGCTGGTACACCAGAGGGTTGTGCTGCCATTCAGAGGGACTTCGACAGGCTGGAGAAATGGGCTGACAGGAACTTGGTGAAGTTCAACAAAGGGAAGTGCAAAGTCCTTCACCTGGGGAGGAACGACCCCAGATACAAATACACACTGGGGGCAACCCAGGTGGGAAGCAGCTTTACAGAAAGGGACCTGGGGGTTGCTAAGTCGAACATGAGCCACCAATCTGCCCTTGTAGCAAACAAGGCTAAGGGTGTCCTGGGCTGTATTAGGGAGAGGCACTGCCAGCAGGTTGAGTGGGGTGATCCTTCCTCTCTTCTGGTGAGACCACAGATGGAGTGTTGTGACCAGTTCTGGGCTCCCCAGTATGAGAGAGACAGGGACATACTGGAAAGAGTCGACCAAAGGGCCCCTAAGATGAGGAAGGACCTGGAGCATCTCTCTTATGAAGAAAGGCTGAGAGAGCTGGGACTGTTCAGCCTGGAGGAGAGAAGGTGTGAGGGATCTTACCAATGTGTTCAAAAATCTGATCAGAGGGAATGAAGAGGGAGACACAAATTGAAATACAGGAAATTCCACCTGAACATAGGAAAAAAATTTTTTTTTTTTTTATTTATTGTAAGGGCAGCCAGAGACCAACACAAGTTGCTGAGAGAGATTGTGGAGTCTCCATTTGTGGACATATTCAAAGCCTGAGCAAACATGATCCTGGGCAACCTAATCTAAGTAACTCTGCTTTGAGCAGGGGTCTGGACTAGATGGTCTCAAGAGCTCCCCTTCAATTTCAACCACGCTGTGATTCTGTGAAGAGAGACACTGAAGGCTTCACTTCTAAAGATTTTTTAGAAGAAGTTTCCAAAGGGGAATATTTTCATTTATAGAATTTCCTATCAGATATCCTCGTGAAATACCTCATCAGAGAAGGAATTCAAATACTACTTTTATTCTGGTATTAAGTGGAGCTTGTTTTACAGTTGCCCACTTGTCAAATACAACCCCACCCTTTAGCTCCCTGGAATGCTGCTGTGCTGCCAGATAACATCAGAGCTGCTGTTTCAAGAAGACAAAGCTCAGGGCAGAGTCCTTCTGCCATCTGGTAGCTGCTCCGGCTTGTCATATGGGACACTCGCAAAGTTTCTGAGCAGGTCTCCCCTGGCCAGGCCATCACAGAGGTAAAGTTACACAACTATTTTCTAGCTTCCAAATGAGAACGAGCTTGTATTCCTTTGCAAAGGAAGCCTCTGCCTGAATGACAGGTCATTACAGCACGGTCTGAAGGCAGACCTGTGCTGCATCACCAATGCAGCAAGGTTCCTTACATATAAGTCATGAAACAGAGTTACAAGCTGAGCAAGAATAAAAATGCAAAGAAGTTCTAAAAAAACAGTAAATGGAGGAGGAGCAGAATTGCTAAACTTATAAGTTGATTTGTTTCTGAATGGCCTGGTGATGACCTGACTAAGAATTCTAGCTTTTACTTAGGAGCAAACAAGTTCTGGCCCAGCTGAAAAGAGACTGTAAGTGAATTGTGATACCTCAAGAGCACCAGAACAAGAAAATAAGTACCTACTACTTTTTGTTTTATTATATTTCAAAAATAACATAATTTTCTACTGTGTTCAGCAGACACTCATTGATTAGTACAGTGCTTTCCTACACTGATGCCATCTGGAAGTTGGTTTACCCTACCTTATTCAGAGAAGAAATGACTTAATGAACATGACACTGATATTCAGGACCTGAAATCCCCAGTAACTGCAGTGGTTGTGCAGGTGGGGCTACAGAAGGAAATACACAAAAATATCTTCAGGGAATTGTGGCTTTGTGCTTGTTTATATAATGAAATAGCACTGTGACATGTCAACTGGGCCAGGGAGGCCAGGAAAGTGGTTGCTGTACCTTACTTCTGCATCCAGATGCACACTGCTGTCCTCACTCTCAGGAAGCACTATTTACAGCTGAAGATGCATTGATTCAACTAAGTGGGAGCAATACTATTACAGCTTTTGCTCATACTGTGTTAGCAAGATCCCTTAGGTTAATTTAAGAAAGGTTTTTAAAATATTGTAACTGCATGTTGCAAGAACATAGGTTTTTCTCTCAAGGGAAAAGTGCATGCTTTCAGAAGGATTCTTAAAGATCTGTTGAAGAGAAACACTTCTGATAGCCTGAACACAAGTCAGAACATGCGAATTCCTTCTAGCTGCCTATCCAGTTATGCTGTTACTGTGCAGCTCTACTGTTTCAGTGTGAACCACCAGAGTCTTCAACTTCCTAGATTCATCTTACTGAATTAACAGGCCCCAATCCTTCCCTCAGCTACGGGGCTAGCAAATAGCTCTGCTGCAAAAACAACACTGTGCATGGAAACCACCACGCAGTTCCCGATCTGCCAACACATGCAGTCATTTGTTTCTACAAGCAGAGCACACGGCCAAGATGAGAAAGTATTCATGTGCACAACCAGGCAGAAAATACAGCTTGCAGAGCCAGCAAGCCCCAGGCTGCGGTGTGAGCCAACCCAACTCTGACTGTGCTGTCCCACCACCCTCCCCTCTGCTGAAGATGCTCAATGCCCTGACACAGCCCAAAACTATTCGCCCCTTACTGAGGCGCTTCAGTGCAACAGAATCCCATTCGTTGCCAGGGGTATCACGACCAGGTATGCTGACTTGACAGACGGGTACTTGCTAGCAAATGATCTCTGCTTGCACATAAATGTCTCTCTTGAAAACAGTAATTGCTTCAGGTGCTCTGCCATCCAGGGGAATTCCTAGAACTGGTACTATATAGTCTGGAGGGAAATGATTTACATACACTGAAACTGCCTATTCCCAGCTGGCATTACGGTTCCTTGGAGTGTTACTCATTTCCCTGATGCCATCGATCATCACCCTCCCCCTCATCAGCGCACACCAGCTTCTGCAGAACTGTGCCTGTTCTGCCAGACTCTTGTTTTTTATGCACTGCACTGATGTTTTGACTCACTTTACCAAGTGTTGCAAAAAATGGAGAGAATATTCTCATTTACTATAAAAAGCTTAGGTCACCATCTCAACTTGACAAATCTTCTCATAGCTCACTACATGCTGAAGACAGTTTGCACACTGAGTTAAGAAATAGGTGCCCCTGTAGTGGGTACAGATGATCTGTCATCAGGCCATGTAGAAAAAAGGGGATATAGCATTTCATTTGCAATTAAAAATCCTCAAATACTGTTTGAGTAGTTATAAAGAACAGAAGTGTAATAGGATAAACTTGTGCTACTTTTTTATAGAAAAGGCATAAGTGATTAATACATGTTGTATTATTTTCATTCAGACCAAAACAAGGACAGATTTTCCCATACATGTTTATCATTCTAACACATGGCATTTGGTTGTTTAAAGCGTATAACTTCCCCAAATTGAGTTTCTCATGGCAAACTCATTTACTCAAACTTAGTGACTATGGATCTCTCAAAGAGCCCCTCACAACTCCTCAGACTCCACAACACAAGCCATTTGTAAGTTCTATCATGCTCTGGAAGAAATGATAGATGTACTCCTTGATTATGAAAGATCATAATGAACACTCAGGTAGGAAAGGACTATCCCACACACAAGAGCTGGGATGCCTTTGGAAAAACACCAGCTCCTGGTTTCTGAGA